ATATTTGACAATTGAAGAAACTGAGGCCAGAAAAAAGCTAAATCTAGTCACATAAGCAGTTAGTCTAAAAACTCGTATCCTGACTTTTTGTACATCACTATATTCATTCATTCACCTCTTCAAGTAAAGAAAGATACAGCCACAGGAAAATGAAGGAACTACATGTCTCCTTTGCTCCATTTCTTATTTAATCTTCTAACAATCTTCTATTTAAACTTCTAACACAAAGTTCAAACCTTGTGGAAGCCTTGGAGCTTCATGTAAAGTGGCTGCCACTGAACCCTTGCTAAAGAAATTGTGGAGGGGAGACTGCTTAATACAGCTCCATTTTGGATTTGCTTATCAGAGAGTGCATGTCGAAAGTCTCAGAAGAAGATGGTATTCTGAATATACTCTTCTGACACTATAAGAGGACAAAAAAAAGGAATTTATTTAAGAATAGACTGACAGTAATCAAAGGTCGCCGGGGAAGAGGGATAATGGGGGAGGAAGGGGAGGGATCGTCAAGGAGCATGGACCCGTGGACGAAGGACCCATGGGCAGAGTCAAAGGAGGGGTAGGGTTGAATGTGGGAGGTGGGGGTGGGTGGGGCAGGGGAGAGTGCGGGAGGAATGATGGGGACAACTGTAGTTGAACAACAATAAAATATATAATAAATAAAAATAAAAATTGTATATTTATTCTTACATGTTTAAACTTCGGTCACCTTCAAAGTCCTCTCATATGATATAATACACCTATTGAGACATTTTTCCACTGCTCAAAGCAGTTTTTGAACTCATCAATTTTTATGCTTTTTAGGGCTTCTGCCATTTTGTTTATTTGTTTGTTTCATGTCTTCTACATTAGCAAAACAGTTTCCTTTCAGGATGTTTTTCATCCAAGGAAAAAAAACAAAAAAAAGTGCTCATAGAAAGAGCAGGTGAATTGGGAGGGTGGGGCACAGTGGTCATGCCATTTCTCATAAAAAACTGAATACTCAGTGTGGCGTTGGCACATACTCTCATAAATCACTCATCATGAAATGGGCAAATGCATTGAAAGAGTCTTCAGAAATGTCACTGAAGCCAAATGCAGTCTCTCACAGCAACACCAGCTGGTAACTGATACAGACGGGTTCCTAGAACACTCACCTGGTGGGTGAAGCCTGTACTACAAGGGCCCCCCTCCAGAAGATAATTCCATTTTGGGGTGTTACCTCCTCATATCATCTCCCAAGCTGATGCTAACTTCTTGTGGGCTGAGGCAGGAGCTGACGTAGAGAGACAAGGCTTATAGGCACATATGGGAGAGCTTAAGTTCTGATGGGTGTTAAGAGAAGAGAATTTGTTCTTCTCGGGGCTTAACTGGAGCCAGTGGACAAGCAGCCAGTAAGTCTCCACTAAAATAAGAAGTCAAGGTTCTAGAGAGAAAACTGCTGGCAAATACATCTGCCCTTAAAAAAAGAGTGATAATTTCCTAATTTTTTATTCTAGCCAGATCTGCAGAGTATTTTTGGCTGGAAAACTTCAGAGCAGCTACCCAGACTGGGCAGTGGTGTCTAACATCTGTCACTGAGGAGACCTTAAGGTATCACCAAAAAAAGCCAATGACTAATATTCTTCAAGTTTATTCATTGTTACCAGCCAACAAAAGCAGATTCTATAGGGCCTTTGACCATCTCTTCTTTAAATTTTTCAAATTTTTTTTTACCCAAGTACTGAAAATAAATAGAGAAATAAGCAAAAGAAAGTAATTATAGATCTGAACAGGAGCAAAGATCCTGGAAAGGAAGGACAAGGAAAATATTAAGGGCAGGCCACTTCAAGTGCAGTAGAAATGCCATACCACTCAAATGATAAATTAAGAACATAAAAATACTAAGAATATTTAACACTATTTAGTTAAAACATTAAAATTAATTTCTAGATTTAAAAATTTTGATTTTTAATATTTTTAGACTGAAATATAGTCATTGTTTTCATAATTGATTTTTAGTCTTGTTTTTATTTATTTATTTTTAGAGAGGGGAAGGAAGGGAGAAAGACAAGGAGAGAACATGGATGTGAGAAGAATACATCAATCGTTTGCCTCTTACACACTCCTTTCCGGGGACCCGGCCCCCATCCCAGGCATGTGCCTTGACCAGGAATCAAACCGGTGAACTTTTGGTTTGCAGAAGGACATCCAACCCACTGAGCCACACCAGTCAGGGCAAAAGTAGAGTCAAACTGAGGATCAAATTAATGGCTTGGAATATTAATGGAAAAGAAACTCAGCTAAAGGCAAATTAGTCCAATACTAAGAAAAAAATGTAAGGGACTTGAAGGATAGACCTGTGAGACCAAAAATGAAAATAAGGGATTCAGGAGAAAAATATTCTATAATTTGATGGAAGACTTGAGGGAAAAAATTATAAATTGAAAAAAAGACTTCAATGGACAGAATAGGATTACTGATGCTAGTCATAACTAAGGAAGGAAAATAGTCATATACCTAGGTTAACCATGGAAAAATATTAGGTGCAGCACCCAAATTTGAAAAGCATAAAATGTTATTTACTAAGAAAAATACCAAATCCTAAAAATATTATGTGTACACATGGTATCTATCAGTCAGGTCAGAATTCCATACAAGACCACATAGACTTGGTGGCTTACAAAATAGAAGTTAATTGTCTCAGTTCTGGATATAAAAGTCCCAGATGAGGGTTGCAGAATGGGTGGGTCCTTTAATGCAGGGGTGTCAAAGTCGTTTTCACCGGGGGCCATATCAGCCTCAAGGTTGCCTTCAAAGGGCCGAATGTAATTTCAACTCCTTAACTATTAAGGAGTAGTTACATTTATACAGTCCTAAAATTATTTTGGCCCTTTGAAGGCAACCACAAGGCTGATGTGCGCCCTGGTGAACATGAGTTTGGCACCCCTGCCCTACAGGCTCTCTTCCTGGACACGGACAGCTGTAGGCTGTGTTTGCACACAGCCTTTCCTTGGTGCCTGGCGAAGGAAAGAAGAGTTTTCTCTCTCCTTTCGTCTTCTTACTAACCCCATCAAATTCAGACTCCACATTTATGATTTTATGTAACCCCAATTATCCCTGAAAAGCCCAATCTCTGATATAGTCACAGTGGGGAGTAGGGCTTCAACCTGTGAGTTTGGGGGAACACAATTCAATCTATAGCACTATCCTTTATCTTTCAAGGCAAGGAGATATTCAAAGATTTAAAGACCACAACATCAACACCCCATCTGAAGAAAACAATGGGGAAAGGATTCTAAGCAAACCATAAATACATCAGGAAGGGACCAGGCAATGGAGTAAGATGAAGAGGAAAGGACGCAGTGATGTGTAATAAATCTTACACATACGTAAATTAAATCTATATAGATAATACTGTGATTAAGGGTTTGCAAATATAAGTCATGAATAAGAATTCATAAAAGAGAAGATAATCTTTCAAAGGAAAACCAACTAAAAGAACTGAAGTCACTAAAAGTCCTCAATAAGCTCAGTAAAATTCATGTACGTTTCTAGAAAACAGAAGAGAAAGGAAAATAAAGACATTTTAAAGATTTCATTTGATAGCCGAATAATGGTCTTAAACTTGGTAAAATAATTTTAAATGTTGTTTAGATTATTCCATTTTTTGACACACTTCCACTTCATAAGACCACTATGAGCTATAATTTATTACCAACATAAGAAGTAGCATTTACGCACCCCATACCACAGAAGTACGCCTGGTCGGGGCCCTGCACACTACCCGCCGGCAGGGCACAGGGGACTCTGCTCTCTTGGAAAGGAGCTGGGAGTAAATACTCCATGTGTGATCCAGTTCCTTCAAGTTCACCAAACCACAAATTCCTGCCTGAAGAGACTATTCCTGGTTTTCTCCGATTGTTGCCCCACCACACATACAACCCCAGAACATGCTAATATTCTAATACTTAATATTTGTCCTTCATTTATTGAATGAAGTAAGAAATTATTAGTTGCAGAGTCAATGTTACATAGGTATAATTAAAGTAATTTCGTACTCTTCCCTCCAAAAATAAGTCCTCTGTTGGCTGATTTAGTAAAATGAGGCACAAGTGCATCGTGTTACTTTCAATTCAAATTACCCAAATTGAACAACATGGGCTTGAACCACTCAGGATCACTTATGCAGAATGCAAAGACTTTCTAAGGCCACAATAATACTGTGCTCACGGGACCAACAATCAGCACCAGTGCAATCACAGAGCAGTCTAAATAAAGGTCAGGTCTCAGCAGAAATGTCGTCCGTTGTTGAGTCAAGAAAATACGTTCTGAATTTGTCTGCCATCTAACATGATAAGAGTTCTCAGAGGCTTGACGGTCTATAAAATTTTAATTATATTTAATGATTACATAATACACTGTTACTGCAGTCAAATCTGAAATCATCATAAATTGAAAACATGCTTAGAGAAGTAATGCCCAGTACTTGTTACCTACCAAATGTGTTTTCATATAACAGTATGATTTATTATAATGCCACATTTTTTAAAATACCATGAACAATGAGCTATATACATTTCATATTATTGTATGATATTTACCCTTTGGGTTTATGTAATATAATGCTTATTCAGTCTCATTAGGTTAATATATTTTTGGTAGTTTTATGAAAAGTAAAATCTGTTTTGTTTACAGTATGATTTAGTATTTTGCTTTATACTCCATGTTTGTATCTCAAGGCATAGCAGATTTAAATCATGCACTTTACAGAATAAAACACAGCCTTATCCTTATTCAACTGAAATGTCTAATGCTGGATCAGTTATCTGTTTCTAAATTATATAAACCTCATGTATAATACAAAACATGCTCTCTATTTTTCAGATTCTCACATCCTTATTGCCATAGAATTTTTAAATTGATAATTAGATTGAATCACTAATGATTTGTAATTAATATTAGTGTTAATAAATAAGCTGTTGTAGGGTTTACAACAAATGACAAGGAAAACACACTTGCCAGCCAATATTATCATTACTTACCAGCTCTTCCTGAAGTTGGGAAATGAGTTCATCCCTCTCTTTCAGCTGCAGCTTCAACACTGAGCATTCATCTTTCATTATATCCTATAAAAACATCAAAGAAACAGCATAATAGGCTTAGCCATTTCACTTTGGTCTTGATAAGGAAAGTCAGCATCACACGGTGGAAGATAATTACATCTGACAAATAGAAGTGAAATTTCCTCTACAGTATATTTTTATAGTATTCTCAGTTGCAAAATAAATGAATGCATCCCAAAATATTATGCTATATATGACATACACACATGTGTTCGCCCCCTTTGGACATCCATTTGTTTATTTTGTTGCCAAAGACAGAAACATAGTCATCCTAAACTCTTTTCTTCCATTTCTGTGCACACATATCATTGGAATAAAAAAATACCTACACTATAAATGAGAAACTTCACCATTTGTTCCTCCATTGTTATTAAACATTAATTCCTCAGCCAATTGCTATGTTCAAGTCTTTTTTTTAAATATTTTATTTATTTATTTTTCGAGAGAGGGGAAGGGAAGGAGAAAGAGTGGGAGAGAAACATCAATGTGTGGTTGCCCCTCGTGAGTCCCCTTGGAATACCAGGCATGTGCTGATGGATGTTTGCAGGCCCCTTCGCCAGGGCTTGTCTTATCTTTAATGATGCCACTGTAACATTTATCTTTTTTACTAGAGGTCTGTGGGCATTTCATCTTCTTACTCTGCATGTGCACCCAGCCCCAGTTTCTATATACATTAAGCATTCACCTCTATGGCTTACCTTACTCTATGCTGGTAACTCTCTGATGCAAATACTTAATTTAGGCTTATCCGTTTTCTAAGTTTCAACCACTGAGTAAAGCTACTTACTGAGCATATATTCAACATTGTTCTATAGACATTTCAACTCACGACAACCTTCATCTCAACAACCTTTTTCCCTACCCTGAAGGTTTGCTTCTACATATATATCCCAATATCTTTCTATTTTCTATACTCTCAGCTCTTCCTCACTAGGAACTAAATCTAGTACCAATTCTTTTTTAATTTTCATTGAATTTATTGGGGTGACATTGGTTAATAAAATTATATGTTTAAGGTGTGTGATTCTTTAATACATCATCTGTATACCATACTGATTGTTCATCACCCCAAGTTAAGTCTCCTTCCACCACCATTTATCTCCCCTTTACATTCTTTCACCTCTCCAGCCTCCTTTCTCTCTGGTAATCACCATACTGTGGTCTGTGTCTATGATCTTCTTTTTTTTTTTTTTTTTTTTTGCTTAATCCCCTCACCTCTTTCACCCAGCCCCTCAACGCCCTCCCCTCTGACAGGAACCAAAACCTTTCATCTCTATTTCCTTCATATTTCTTGGGCTCATTCCTCTCTTGCTCATTGATTTTCTCTAGGCGCTCACTCATTGCTTCTTACCTGACTTACTGAGTCTCTAAACTGGTCCTTTGCCACTTCCCCTATCTGTGAGAAATATTTTCCTAAATACAATTAATTACAGTCAGTTAATTAATTACTTCTTAATTTAATAGCTAATCACTTCCTCCTTTAGAGGGAATAAGAGTCAAAACTCTTTAGCATAGCATATAGTATCCTTCTTTATCTGCTCTTGCTTACTCCTGGAGTATCAGTGTTTTTCATTTCCAACTTTCTTACCACCTTTGCTCACCTACAGAGCTGAAATGCAAAATGTTGTCCTGTATCTCCTTGCTTATGCACGTGATCCATCTCGGGATCACACTGCCGAGGATCCACTGCAACCCTCTACCCTCCTCACATTTCTCATGCTCTAAGAGGCATTTCAAGCATTATTACTATTCCTCTAGAACTTCCCAGCTTTGGCTGAGTTGTGTATGCCTAGAGGGTGAGTGTGTGCTCCATACCATCTGAATCGCAGTGCCATTTGCTTGCTCTGCACTCTCATTGGACTAGTTCTAACCCACTCAAGTGGCTTCAGGTCTACCTCAGTTCATTTAGCTTCGTAGATGTGTTTTTTAAAATAAATTGAATACAAGACTTTCTGCCAGCAAAAAGATCACGGCTTTCCATATTTTGAGACTCAGTTTATTGCAGTGGCCTGGAGCCAAACCTGCAATATCTCTGAGGTATGCGTTTACTTCATTAATGTATCATGAGCACCAAACATTGTAACTGACACGTAAGATGCTCAAATACACATTTTCTTCCCAAGTTGCCAAAAAAACAGTATAAACATTAGAAGAGTTCTTACTTTTTTCTCTGTCTGTTAACTTTATCTGAGCTCACAAGGAAGGAAAGAGCTAACAGATTAGAGAAAATAGAATATTTGCTTATTCTGGTTCTCATGGTGTTAAGTTCTCCTTTACATTAAACCAAGGGTCCTCCTTCTCCAGGCTGAGGACCAGTCCTGGTCTGGGCCTGTTAGGAGCTGGGCTGCACAGCAGGAGGTGAGCTTGCATGTCATGTTCCTGAATCATCCTGAAACCATCCCCCGGCCCAGTGTGTGGAAAAATTGTCTTCCACAAAACCAGTCCCTGGTGCTGAAAGGTCGGGGACAATTGCAGTAACAATACAGAACATCTGATTCAAATATACTCTCTCCTTTCATTTGCTGACAACCAGCTTGGCTGGGAGACACTATCTCTGCTCCTTTTCTTTCACACCAGTGTTGTTTCTTCCCTAAAGCATGACTTTTTATGGGTAGAGTTTACACTCATCTTCTTTAATTATTTCTTTTCATAGATTCTAAATATTACGTATTATACTGTTAATGGTGAATGGCAAAAGGCTTAGCCTGCTCCACAATGCAAAGAAAAAACAGCAGGCTTAAGAAGTAGGTAAGAAGTTGGTCGTGTTTGTTAGAATCAGAGCTCTAGGATCGAATCCTCGGTACTTCAATTAAGTTGCCCTGTGGCTCTGTGCGAGTTAGGGAGCTTCTTTGAGCCCCGTGGACGTTTCTGTGGAGGTTAATGATAACACCAAACTATAAACTGCCTTATAGTCCCCAAATTTTACATAATATCTCATTTGAGAAAAAATAACTCCCCTTCACAAAATAAAATGTCACAGGTTGGGTTCTCTGGGACACAAATACTCAGATGGGATTAAGGGTGCAAAAGGTTTATTAGAAAGTAAATCTATGTGAAAAAAAAAGGAGAAGAGTCATAACTGGGCAGAAGTACAGATGGACTTAGGACTCCTATCTCACAAATCCTCTGCCAGCGGGAGGTGAAGCTCCAGAGCTAAGAAAGCCAGGGAGAAGAATCTCTCATTGAGGGCAAATAGGTCAGTTCTTGTACCACTCCCTGCTGCGCAGTCATTGGTTGGGCCCTGCCTCAAGAGAACTAGATCTTAACTGTGTCACTTCATTCGCTATCTCAGGTCGCCCAGAGACGAGCTTGACTTCAGCTGATAAAGTCGCTAACAGGTACAGGCAGTCGGGTAACAACAGGGTTTGCAGTTGGGTGGAGAGTCCTTTACTGAAGGGGAAGCTGAGCCTCAGGAAGGATCTACTGACATTGGTTTCGGTTGATTAATTATCAACAATATTTTTGTTTATTAATTTATAGTTTGTCCATTACTCAGTGTGAGACATTTATCTACATTTTGGCTAACAGAAATTGTAAAGAAGTTTGGTTTTCAAAAAATATATTCACTTTGCACAATTCTCTAATTTCATTTCTGGGGAACTTTTTCAAGATCAGAATTCCACAGCTTTAAATCAGGGAGGTGCTAACATATACATGTATTTAATTATAGAATAACATTGAATTTTATCATATGTCATCAGAAGCCATTTTTAAAAGCTTTATCTATGACTGACTTTGCAAATGAAACTTAGTTACCTAGAGTTTTTTGTTTAGTCATTATATCGTGGCAATATTCACAGAGGTTCCTGTTTAACACAAACAGGAAAATCCCTTGAACAATTCTTACTCTGAGATGAAGGCTGACAGCAATACTCCCTCAATATTCTCACTACATTTGCAAAATTCTGGGACATATTTGGCAGGATGATATGTTCAGTTAGATATCATATTGATGTGTAGAATTAAATGAATTTTAATATTATTGGTCTTCAAAATAAAGTTACCCCATTAACATAAAGGATAATGTAAATAATTTAATATTGTACTTATTTAAATGTATATTATTTTCAAACAGGAAAATATATAATTTAATAATGATAATATTCTCTATATCATTGAAGTATAATAAATTTTAAGACTCAAATTCAATTCGTTACTTCCCAATTCAATAATTATTCATGAATATGGAATTCTAATATGGTAGATTAAATTAAAAAATAGCTACCAATCCTTTGCTATTATTCTTACTGAAACATGGAACACCTACCTATCTTTGCACCTGGGCTGGTCTTATTGACTTGCTTGACCAACAGAATACAATGGAAGGAAACACTATATTCTGGGGCTAGAAAAGAAAACACCTTTCTTTCAGGGATAGAAAAGAAAGCCCTTTTCAGCCCCCACAATTGGTCTCTGAGAACTCCCCCCTCTCGGTTTACTCCCTTGCAGAAAGAACCCAGCAGCCATGCTTCCACTGATGGTCTCCTACATCTAGCCCAGTGGGACCTTCAGATGCCCAGAGCTCCTGACAGTATTTCACCATAACTGCTTCAGGGGAATCATTCCTGAATTCCCGACTTATGAAACTATGTGCAAAATGAAAGTATAGTTTTGAGCTACTAAGTTTGTACATATGGACAAACTTCAAATCATTATAATTAGTGTAAATTGACTCATTATAGTTATATAAAAATGTATGCAGTTAAATTTTAAAACAAAATACTTTGTGATTTACTTTCTGACCTTGATGATTTAAGTTATTTAGTGTAAATTTCAAATAGCTTACTTCATGAATAAAAAAGTATGTTCTCATTATATAAACTATGAATTTTAAGCAACTAAATACAAGACTGTTTGGATTACAGCACGTATTACTCTTAGGAAATCTCAGGACTTCTTACTGATTCCCATCACTCAAAAGATAATTACAACAATACCTTATTTTGCATAGGGCATTTATAATGCATAAAATACTTCCATGTGCAGAATTTCTTCTTGCTATC